AGGGAAGAGGAAACGCGGGGGGGGGCGGGGGAAGGGACGGGGAAAAGATCGTCGGGGGGAGAAGGAAAGGAGAGGAAGATAGGGAGAAGAAGAAGAAGAAGAAAAAGAAGAAGAAGAAGAAGAAGAAGAAGAAGAAGAAGAAGAAGAAGAAGAAAAAGAAGAAAAAGAAGAGGAAGAAGAAGAAGAAGAAGAATGAAGAGAAAGAAGAAGAAGAAGAAGAAGAAGAAGAAGAAGAAAATAAAAAAATTGTCGTCGATTACTTATCTGCGCGGAGGTAGCAACGACGATGACGAGGGTGGGACGGCGCGGCGACGAGGACGACGGGCACGACGATGGCAACGTGGCACGACGACGACAATCGAGACGGTGACGATGATGACGTGGCACGACGACGACAATCGAGACGGTGACGATGATGACGTGGCACGACGACGACGATCGTGACGATGGTGTGGCACTACGACGACGATCATGACGATGATGCTGATGATGGCCAGGTGGTGACGACGAAGCAGGGTGGGCCGGGCGGGTTTGAATCGCTCCGATACCAGTGTAACGCGCGCGAGGCTGAGGGAGAGCCGAGGGAGAGGAGAGAGAGAGAGGGAGAGAGAGAGGGAGAGAGTGAGAGCACACACTCACACTCACTCACTTGACACGATTGAGGGTCGGACGTAGACACAATGGCAAGGGCACAAAGTCAAAGTCTTGGATTCCTGAATGTCGAAACAGCAAGTTACACGGAGTACGAGTACAGCAGCTGGAAACTGGTATGAGACTGGTCCCCGTACCGTACGGGGAGCCGGTATAAGTACCGGTGACACGTACGGTACCAGGGGCATTTTTGCAAAGGCCCCGAGGGCAGAACTGAAAAATGCGGTATTTGAAAGTGGCGCCTGAATTGCAGCATGGCGCCAGTTGTCCCAAATCCTACAGCACCAAAGGAGGGGTTTGGAAAAAGGGTGCCAGGCCGAAAACGGGATGCAGCCGAAACAGCAAAACGAAAGACCAGGGATCGAGCCCTGACGGAGTCCGTAACAAAACCTGCATGTACAATGTGTAGAGGGTTCAGCCTCCTGATGTGTAGAGGGTCCGTAACCAAACCTGTATGAAAATTTCGAGCACCAAGAAATCATTCAAAAATGCATGACTTGACCAAACTGAAAGCCTATTCACAAGGCCGAGAACACACACTGAGGTATCTTGATGATGAAAGCCCTCTTCACGCCTCCATAAATCAATGCAACCTTAGCTACAACAAGTGGACCCCCGCCGCAGCGACGCTGCGGGGCAATGACACGTTGCCATGGGCCCACGCGGACTCATAAATCGTTCACACTCAAGACAAAGAACAGTCCATCGGAAACTGGAGTCCGTTTCCCCCCCCTCTCTTCACTCTGAGCGTCCTCGATCTCATCCCGATCCCTGGTTTCCCACCTCTTTCTGCTCCCGCGTTTCTCGATCCCGACCTCCCTCTATCGCGATCCTGGTCCCCGGTCTGGGACCTCTTTCTCCTCCTGCTTTCCCCAATCTCGACCTCCCTCTATCCCAATCCCTTTTCTTGGACATCTCGATGTCTGCTTCGATGCGACTTCCCTCTAACCCGGCCTCGATCCTCCCACCTTCCCTGATCCCGATTTCCCTCTCTTTCCGCTCCGGCCTCTCCAACCTCGACCTCCCTCTACCGCAATCCCACTTCTTGCTCATCTCGATGTCTACTCCGATGCCGCTTCCCACTGACCCGGCGTTGATCCACTTTCCTCGATCCCGATCTCCCTCTTTTCCGATCCCGCTCCCCGGGCATTGATCCCCCTGCCTTCCCCGATCCCGATATCTCCCTATCTCGAACCTGCTTCCTGGTCTGACACCTCTTTCAGCTCCCGTCTTCCCTGATCTCGATCTCCCTCTATCCCAATCCTGCTCCCTGGGGCTTGATCGTCCCACCTTCCCCGATCCTGATCTCCCACTGACTCGACGTCGATCCATTTTCCCCGATCTCGATCTCCCTCTGTCCCGATCCTGCTCTTCGGGCCTCGATCCTCCCACCTTCCCCGACCCTGATCTCTTCCTATCCCGAACCTGCTCCCCGGTTTGGCACCTCTTTCAGCTCCCGCCTTCCCCGACCCTGATCTCCCTCTATCCCGATCTGGCTCCCCGGGCCTCGATCCTCCCACCTTCCCCGATCTCGATCTCCACTGACTCGGCCTCGATCCACTTTCCCCGATCCCTATTCCCCTCCATCCCGATCCTGCTCCCCGAGCCGCGATCCTCCCACCTTCCCCGATCTCGATCTCTCCCTATCCCGAACCTGCTCCCTGGTCTGGCACCTCTTTCAGCTCCCGCCTTCCCCGACCCCGATCTCCGTCTATCCCGATCCTGCTCCCTGGGCCTTGATACTCCCACCTTCCCTGATCCCGATCTCCCCCTATCCCGATCCTGCTCCCCGATGTGTGTGTGTGTGTGTGTGTGTATGCGTGTGTGAGAGAGAGAGAGAGAGGGAGAGAGGGGGAGAGAGAGAGAGAGAGAGAGAGAGAGAGAGAGAGAGAAAGAGAGAGAGAGGGAGAGAGAGAGTTCCGCAGAGAGATAGAAAGAGGCTACTTCTGTCGACAGGATGAGCAATATTGGAATGAATCTTCAAGTAGAATATGGAAATATACACTATTTTCCAGCCATGCGCGCAGAGAGACAGAGAGGTTACTTCCATTGATAGGACGGGCAAAATTGGAATGAATCTTCCGCTAAAACAAGGAAGTAAACACTGCCATTTTTTTTTTTTTTTTTTTTTTTTTTTTTGTTTTTTGTGTGTGAGAGAGAGAGACACACACACACACACACAGAGGGAGAGAGAGAGGGAGAGAGAGAGGGAGAGAGAACAGGCAAGTGTCCAACCAGCGTCGCTGCCTGTGCCCTCCTTCACTCTGTACCTTCCACCATCTCAGTCGCCTCGCAGCCTATGCTCTCCTTCCCTCCACGCCTTCCACGATCTCACTCGCACTCCTTGCAGTCGATACCCCCTGCTCCCTCCGCCCGCCTCCTTTCTTCTTACACGCACGACGCTCACGCATTGCATGCGCAAGCCAGCACACGACGCTCACGCCATGCATGATTCCAGGATTGACCAAACTGAAAGCCCATTCACAAGGCCGAGAACACACTGAGGTATCTTGATGATGAAAGCCCTCTTCGCGCCTTCACAAATCAATGCAACAAACGAGTTGTAGCCCTTAGCTACAATGTGTCCGCCTCTGCTGCTTCCCTAATTAGCCTACCATCTAGCCTCCTCTCTGTCACTCTGTCCTCAAGCCACTCACCGGATGCCGCTGAAGATAAGATCACCTCGTGCYTGCTTGTCACCACTTAGAACATGTTTGCATAGCATACTTGCAACAGCACTGCACTCTAKACGGCGTTCGGCTACGCACGTGCCTGTGCGCCGTACCAGCAGCAAGATAAGATCACCTCGTGCCTGTTTGTCACCGCTTAGAACATGTTTGCATAGCATACTTGCAACAACCTACAACACGGTCCTGTAGAATGAGCCACGATGCTTGTTGTGGCTCATAAACCAGCAAAATGGCTGGGAAATGTACTGGTGGTTTAGTACGTATTACAGTGGTGTGCGGATTCTATAGTCTCGAAGTCGCTATCTGACATCGACCACAAATGCAGCATGGCTTACAGTCCATGTATACACCTGATGCCGCCTGTTCAGTGCTCATTGTAAAGAGGTATGAGCTTTCTTCATATGTTCTCTTGCCATCAACAAACTTTCAGCCTGATGGCGAGTGTTTGTCTCCAGTGGTCAGAAGAGCATGAATGTTTGGTATATGTGAAGTTGTCCTTCTGTGTTTGTTTCTAAATGTGTTTTTGTGAAAGCAGATTCCAGATCCCAACCCGGATACTTGTAATTGTGCTTCTTGCCTTTGGTAACTACCGTCTTCTCCTGATAGAACGCCTGGTCATTATTGTTGTATCTGGGCTAAAAAAAGGCCCAAATACAACTCTAATGATCGGGCGTTATATTTGGGTTAAACCACTAGTACCTCGCCCAGTGTTGGGAAATTAGGCCAAACTCCTGAAAATTCGGAGGCCGGGCCCGACGACGGCTACCATTGATAAATCTGATCGTCAGCGGTCGTTTCGTTCGGCCATCCGGATGGCCCACCCAAGGCCCGCTATTTTCCCACGCGGCAAAGGTACTAGTGGTTTAAGACGGTAGTCTGATTAGGTGGACATTTGATCAAATCTGGGTATGTTATCGCAAAGGAGTCGATCCGGCCGCAGGTTCCCCTACGGTTACCTTTGGAATTGTCTCAGGGCTGAGAAAGTCCGAAAAGTCTACTGGCAGTGCTGGGACTCCTGTTATGAACTTGGTTGTCTGACAATTTTTACCGCCACTCACACACAGATAGTCTCATACATGCCCATACATGCATAAGAGAAGGGGGAGAGGAGACAAAGTCCAACTGTACACAGATCAAAGTATGTAGTGGGAGTTCAGCCATGCACAGATGGGGAGAAGACACTGCGTACTTCTCACTCTCTGACAAACTCCCAACAACCAATCACAAGAAGAAACCTGCGAAGATAACAATTGGAATTCACACTGATGAAGAGCCAATTAAAAC